GTGTGTGTCAGTGGAGATGATGGGTTCGTAAGGATCACGGGTACACTTCTTTTTTGCTGTTTTGTTTGGATCGTGATGGATGCTTGAATCTTCAGGTCGTTGTGAGCGGTGGTTCTGCGTTCAAAATTACATCATATTGTTGCATTATAGAGAGAATGTTATTCATATTTTAGTATAAGACATGCGTGTCATTTGAATTCTGGATTATTATCAATACCTTGGAAATTATATACATCTTATTATTTTTAGTTTAGATGTAAAGTGATAGATGCTACTGCATATTTTATTAGGGACTTTAAATATTTTATATATTATTTGAATTGGTATATAGTTATAGATATGATACCAGATTATTGACTAAATATAGTATTTTATATATAATTAGGGCTGTGCAAAAATTAATTGCGATTAATCGCATCCAAAATAAAAGTCTGTGTTTACATGATATATTTGTCTGTGCTGTATATAATTATTTTGTATATATAAATATCTATGCATGCATGTATATATTTAAGAATTATTTGCGCTTAAATTCTGTATATATATATATATAAATACATAGTCTATATTATATAAATATAAATATTTTATATATGAATAACATATTTTCTTAAATATATACATGCATGTATGTGTATTTATATATACAAAATAATTATATACAGCATGCACAAATATATTATGTAAACACAGACTTTTATTTTGGATGCGATTAATCGCAATTAATTTTTGCACAGTCCTTATATATATATATATATATATATATATATTTTTTTTTTTAAGGGACTGTATAGTGATAGATGGTATACTGTATTTGATTAGTGACTTAAAAATATATTTCATATTTGATTAGATTAGAGTGTATGTATAGTCATATATGTTACTTTTGATTAGTTTTATAATTAATTTTTTATATATTATTAGATGTTTAGATGTTATATTTGGTTAGTTTAATGATTTTTGAATATGTATATTTCCAATATTATTAGTTTAGGGATGATGTTTAGTAATGAGTGTTATCCATTATTAGTTCAGTGACTTAATATACTATTTATTGTTAGTTTAGGGACAATGTATAGTATAATGATATATGTTATATTTGATTACTGTAGTGACTTTAAATACCGCTGGACATTATATGTGATTAGGTGAGGGACTGTGTGGGAGCTGTGTGAAGTCGAGACATTATAATTATGAATGAAATAGGAGTGCTGTTATACAGTTGTGTGTGTGTGTGTGGCTTCAGCTCTTTTCAGGATATGAATGCTGTTTAAGATTTGTTGCTGTAGCAATGTAGAGCACTAAAACTATGAGTTGAATGCATTACCGTACCCGCACACACTCGCATGGACACACACCCCCTCTGAGATGTGATTTATATGCCTATTACCTCGATCAGTAATGTGAAGGAAAACAGACATGCAGGGTGTGTGTGTGTGTGTGTGTGTGTGTGTGTGTGTGTGTCTGAATGAGCAGAGTAGTAAAAGGCCAGACAGGCTGAAGATATGTGTCTTATGCAGACGTGTGTTTTATGTCCAGATGAACTGAGGAATCGCAGCGGAGACAATTGAAGGTTCAGGGTGAGCAGCAGCTCTGGGTGAAATAGTCAGACATTATATTTCTTGATCTGAATATTTTTTACAGTGTTTTGACAGTGAAATAGCTCAGGGAAACTTCACTTCAACTACAGGCACATCAGCTATTGCTGCAAAAAAGAAGTTTCATGCAAAAATGTATGTACTGTACAGTAAAATATTGTCATATTTCAATTATTGTCATTATATGTATCATGTACATGGTAACTAAAATAATCAATATTCATATATTTATTTTATGTATGTACCGTATGTATGTTTAATATATATATATATATATATATATATAAATTAGGGCTGGGCAACGATTGATCGCGATTAATCGCATCCAAAATAAAAGTTTTTGTTTACATAATATGTGTGTGTAGTGTGTATAATTATTTTGCATATATAAATACACACGCATGCATGTATATATTTAAGAAATATTTGCATGAATTTACTGTAGAAATATTTATACATGATTTATATTAAATATAAATATTAATATTTTATATATTAATAACAAATTTTTTTCTTCAATATATACATGCACGTTTGTGAATTTTTATATACAAAATAATTATACACAGTACACAAACATATGTTATGTAAACACAAACTTTTATTTTGGATGCGATTAATCGCGATTAATCGCTGCCCAGCCCTAATATATATATATATATATATATATAAGCACATATATATATATATATATATATATATATATATATTAAACATACATACCGGTACATACATAAAATAAATATAATATATGAATATTGATTAATTTTAGATTAGTTACCGTGTGCATGATGTATATAATGAAAATGAGTGAAATATGACAATATTTTACTGTGACAATATTTTAATTATATATATATATATATATATATATATATATATATATATATATATATATATGAAGAGTTCAGATGCAAAAGCCTCTAAGTGCCATTTGAAATTTTCTTCTAGAATGATCATTTTTATCAAGCTTGTATATTTAAGTTCAGTGATTTCACTTAAATGGCAATGGTAATTACTTATTAATTGTTATTTAAGTGAAATTACTGAACTTAAATATACAAGTTTGATAAAAATCATCATTAAAGAAGAAAATTTCAAATGGCATTTAGAGGCTTTTGCATCTGAACTCTTCATATATATATATATATATATATATATATATATATATATAATTAGTATATTACTATATTATTTTTATGGGAAATATCACATATTTAATTTATTTGTTATGGGTAATATCACATTTAGTACTATATTAAATACAGTGGTGGAATGTAACGAAGTACAAATACTTCGTTACTTTACTTAAGTACATTTTTCACGTATCTTTACTTTACTTAAGTACAATAAATAGAGCCTACTTTTTACTTTTACTTCGTTACATTTTGCAGCAATTATTATACTTTCTACTCCACTACATTTCTACAACTTCTGTTACATTTTCGTTACATTTTCTGATCAGTTTTTCCCCTGCCAAAACGTAATCTGACCGTCCGTTCGTTGCACGTTTGTCTCACCAGTGACGTTTGGTTGCCATAGATACAGTATATCAACCCGGTCACACTAAATGCGTCTCACACGCAGTGTGTTTATCGTGCAACTCATACGCGAAATTTTTTTTTACGTGCATAGGAAACACACCGTGTGTAATATATGTTTGGTTTGGTTAGGATTATATGGCAAGCCAAGAGGTTCAGAATTACACCATAAATTAATCTCGTTTACTGCCAAACATAGTTATTAACATACAGTAAGGATAAGTATGATGTGTATATTGCCTAATTACAAGCTTGTTTCAGAAATGGTGACATTTTTTTCCATCATTATTGAACATCATTATAGGAGTAGGCTATTAGGTTGAATGAGTTAGAATTAAATGTTTTATTAATCATTAGAAAATAGACATTAAGATAATAAATTGTTATGCAAGTACTTTTACTTTTAATACTTAAAGTACATTTAAAATAAAGTACTTTTTACTTTTTACTTAAGTATGGTTGTCATTGTGTTACTTCTACTTTTACTAAAGTAAATATTTATCTGGGTATTTGTACTTTTACTTAAGTACTGAGATTCAGTACTTCCTCCACCACTGATTAAATATGAAATAAAGCACATTGTACATATTCAATATGTCTATGGCCTAGCGCTAGAGAACAGAAATCAAGTCTTCCCTTCACAAAGCTCACAGAGCAACAGAAAGGAAGACATTACTCACACGTCTCTGCATTTACAATTCACAGGTTCACACATGAGGTGTTAGAGGGATTTGAGGAGGACTAGATGAGTTTGGCCTTCTCCCCGCGAGATCTCAAGTGTTAAACACCCCCTCACACACACAACACATGTGAGCTTGGAAAGTCACAGAAATGGACAGGGGAAAATAGATATTCACACCCGCACGTGAATGATTATGAGAATACGGTGAACGAGTAGAGCAGGTCATGCTTTGTTTGACCTGAGAATATGGCAGATGGTGACATCATTCACAGCATCACAGTGAGATGACATACAGTGTGTTGAGAAATTCTGCACTTATTATTATTGTCTGTTTTTTCTCTCTCATATAAACCTGGAAATAAGCTGAAAGTTTTATAAAAAATATTAAAAAATGCTAAATGAAATGTAAGAAATATTCTGAAATGTAATCGAGTCTCCTCTCTGTCTCCATTCTCCTCAGTCTTGAGGAAGACGTTTGAACAGGAGCCCTTGGGGAAGGAAGTGTCACTCGAACAGGAAGTGCTGCTGCAGTGCCGCCCACCCGAGGGCATACCGCCTGCTGAGGTACACACACACACACGTGTTAATACTGTATAGATCATTTTTGCCTATATATAAGGATAAATGTCAAGATCGTGTGTCGCCAACTGTCAAAACTATTTTTTATAATTAAACATCAAATTGAAAAAAATATATGAAATATATATATATATATAGAGAGAGAGAGAGACGATGATCTAAACCTTTTATTTAAACGCTTTAGTAAATATTGAAATAAACATTAAGATTAATGAATCCTGTGGAAGTGTTAGTTTTAGTTCACACTTATTTTAAAGTGTTACTCATACATTTATATAAAATTTGCACTTCTAATCTTCCTAGTTATCTAAGAAATCTTACATTGTTCCTCTTTTGTATGCATAATAAAACATGTTAAATAATACGTTTTATGCCTTTTTGGTATTGGTATTGGTTTATTTAAGAGGGGGACAGTGGTTAAAAATGCCAGAATTAGCCAAAAGGCTATTTTTCACCTTTAGTCCCCTGGCCAAAATGTAAAAGAAGCATTAAAATACAAGTCTATGGCAAATCAATAACTACAATATAAATGACACTATAAAATAACTTAAAGAGCATATTGCAGGTAAAAAAAAAAAATCGAAATTTATAAATAACCTTGTATAAAAATACCATATGAAAAGTTAATGCAGGATTTAAAATGTTTTAAAACAACATAAGGACACTAATTTAGAAGATAAAGTGAGCGTTTCTTGGACTGCTAGTAAAAACGGCTTTTTTTTTCACCATCGCGTCATTTGACGTCATATCAGGGAGCCGCAACCTCGGCTCAGTGAGAGCAGGCTGGTGTTCAGTGAGAGCGCTCGTCAGTCAGTGTGCTTTCGGTACATTTTTATTTTAATTTATCATCGTCATGGTAAATTATTGTGTTTGTGGAGATTGCAAAAAATCCAGCCTGTCAGGACTTCAAGATCGAGTCCACAAGTTTCCATTACAATAAAAGGGACGGTGCTATATAGCCTATCTTTCGTTCCTGGTGCGGTTTGAGCAGGTGAAGAGACGGGATTTCTCTTCTGCATCGGCTCGGAAAACGCGGTCGTGTGTAGCGTTCACTTCAGATCAAATGATTAGCATCCCGGCGATATGATGGAGTTCAACATGGTATGCCGAAGCAAGAATATTGATCGTCGTATTACTACCAATGGCATCAAATAGTGTTATATAGGTAACTTGTCATGCCCTACATAGAACTTGTAATTGAAAAACAAAATTGGTTGTTTAAATACTCAAATCTTTAATGTTCTGTTTATGTTATAACCTAGGTGAAAAATATGTATTAAAAATTTACCTGAGTAGCCTATGCTTTTACTATAGAAATATACTCAAGTAAAGTTTTTATACATTTAATAGTATATAAATCTACCCTAAACATACTAATGTCTGCTGGCCTGTTATAGGATCATAATAATCTGTACAATATTGTGAGCACAGTGTATATCGTTAGCGAACGTGTATACTTAAGCACGTCTCTCACCTAAAAGGCACCTGTCCTGTTCTCCACTGGTTCTCCTCACATCACAGCTCAATTTTTCTCTGACCATTCTGTCTGACATTATCCTGGCCTGTCCCTGCTCTCTTTAGCATAGCAGGCTCATAACTTTATGGCTTGATCCGTCATACGAGTATTTCCTCAGCGTCCGAAATGTCATGCGATTCATTGTTTTCCTGTTGTGTGAATCGACGGCTCTCCCGCTCATTGCGTCACGCCCGCCACGCCCATTTTCAGACACGGAAGTAAAATTTTCTCACAAAAACGACTGCAGAAGCTTCTGTAGCGTGTTTATACGTATATTTTAAAGAAAATCTAGTTCCTACATTGTTTTTCTATGCATTGACTCGTTGGGTCCTCTAACCTGCAATATGCCCTTTAAAGGGCACATATCATGCAAAATCCACTTTTTTTTTTTGCCCTTAAATGCATTTTGTTGTATATTTGGAGTGTTTATAAGTACAGAAAAGATGTAATTATCCTCTTCAGGTGCTTGGTTTATATCTTTATATTCTGTTTTGGTCATATTTTGCAACCTCTTCAGATTTTTCTGTTCTCTGTTACGTTTTTTTAACAATTACGTCACAGTATTTGCAGCCGAACTGACAAATAAGGACATTGACTACCAACCCAACACTTCAATCCGCCGTTATTATTTCTCGCTCCGATTTTGTAGTCCAAGCTCAATGATGTAGAAGTTACGAGAGGGCAAGTCAAAATGTTCGGTTGTTGGATGTAGATCTTCAAGGATTCCCACTTCAACAACCTCTGCCAGTATAAAGAAGAGTTTGCCGATCGACTTAGTCTGAATGAGGGGTAAATTCCTTCTATCATTTAAGTTAGCTGCTGTTTTCTGACGCTTTCTAAATGCAAGTTATCATATTATTATCAATACAGATTTTTAGTGGTAAGATCAGACCGCAGTCATTTATCTTGTCAGTGTGCTTGTTTTAACAAGAGAAATAGTCGACCCGTGTTGTAGTACTCGAGACTCGGACTCGGTCTCGAGACCATATTTTAATGGTCTTGGTCTTGTCATGGACTCGATCGTGTCCATTTGGACTCGGAATTGACTCGTACTCGAACATTTTTTTTTTTAGAACTCGGAATTATTCCCGAGTCCACTCGAGTTCAATTCAAAATATTTTTCATGATTATTAATGTATGTTAATAAAATATTTCTTTAAATTGATTGACACGCCCAGTGATTGGTGATTTTCTAGTGCGCAACTGCGCATGACAAATTGTAATAAAATTACTTTTAACACCACCTACTATGTGGCCTTTTTACCCTAAACTGATCATATTTTTTAAACTCTAAGTAAATTCAGTAAAAAAAAAAAAAAAAAAAAAAAAAAGGATTTCTCTAAGTAAATAAAAGTAATTTAGGTAATAACCCTCACTGGTCTCTGTCTCGACTCGGACTCGACCGTCTCTGGTCTCGGACTCGACTCGGACTCAACTCTCTATGGACTCGGTCTTGACTCGGACTCGACTCTCTCTGGTCTCGGTGTCGACTCGGACTCGACTGAGGTGGTCTCGACTACAACACTGTAGTCGACTTTCACTAATAACACAAAAGAGTTAACTCACATACCAATACATCCATAGAAGAGGTTGTTCTGCAGGTTCGTCGTCGTCTTTATCAACTCGCTCGCTCTGGCTCGAATATGTAAGGCTTGATGGACAAGTCTTCTGCTGTTGATTTTATTAAAGTGTGAATAAAAATGTTCTTTGAAGGTATCGTATATAATCGTATTTCTCTAATCAAACTACAATAATGGCCGAAGGTGGGGAGTTGAACTGACCGTGAACTCATCGACCTGGAGAGCGGGCGGGGTATAACTTTTTATTTAAAGGGGCCGCATTGAAACGGGTCGCTCACAGAAGCACATCAGAAAAGGGGTAGAAAAGGGGCCTGTGGAGCTATAATAATGAGGAATTCAGACCCAAGCATTGCAATTATGCTTTATGTAGACCACAAATGTATGATTTATAAGTAAAAATGAATGATTTAAAAGCATGATATGTACCCTTTAAGACACACAATACCTGTAACAATATTTAAACACACACACACAAAAAAACATGTATCCAAAGGCGACTGTATCAGGCTTTTTAAATGTTCAACTTTCTTTAGTGTGTAATGTTGCTGTTTGAGAATGAAAAAGGTCTGTTATAAAGCTGATCTCCCTGAAACGCCTCCATTGTAGTCTTGAGTTTTCTTCCGGGAATGAACACGTCACAACATTCCTCATTTAAATCATTCCCGCCCAAGAAGATTGATTAAGCACAGCTGTACATAAAATATTGCAATATTTTAAATTGCAAATAGAAGAAGACAAACTGTTGGTGCGAGAACAGCGAGTCTTTGTGGTGTACGTAATGTCGGCATATCTCCACATACTGTAGGATGAACCTCATCCAACAGGAACAACTGTCTGCATTAGAGGAATCTGTCCTGTCTGAAAGAGATGTCCAGGTACTAACCGGATCAGATCCAAAAAACATAAAACCACATCTGCCCAACTCACTGCAGAATTAAATGCACAATTCAACTCTCCCGTTTCCACCAAAACTGTCCGTCAGGAAACTCCAGAGTCAATAATCATGGTCGGCTTCTGTAGCCAAAGCTTTGATCACTTGTGTCAATGCCAAATGTTGCTTTCATTGGTGCCAACTGTGCAAATCCTGGGCAAATACTTCTCCGAGTCCACCTTCAATATCTTTCCCACATAGGGGAGAGCGGGGCACAACCTAACGCATTTCGGTTTTGGCTCAGTTAATCAAAAAATAATTATGTTTTTTTTACACAACCAACATACACATCTTTGCTACAAATAAACACTTAAAGTTTTTTTTCATACAGTTGCACTGAAAATGACAGAAGTGCAAATGTTACAACTTACCCCATATGCGGGGTTAATCGTAACAGACAGAGGGGTTAGTTGTAACTAACTAAATAATTCAGTACTATTTTATTTGTATAGTTTGATATTGTTTGTGCATCTGTATAGACAGATATCCATACATCCATCCCTCATCCACTCATCCTTCTATTGTGGATCAATATCATGGATAGAGACAGAAATGGGCTGCACAGTTTTGCAATAAATAATAATAAATAAAATTATAAAATATTGTAATTGCAATTAAATTAGATTTGTGTGTGGCAGCTGCATGTACAATTATTATTATTAATAATAATAATAATAACAGTAATAATCATACAAATGAGCTTAAAATAATAATTTTAAGGGTTTATTGCATTAAAAACAGGCCATATTTTTAATAAATAAATAAACAAGTTATCATTCATTTCATTCATTTTTTCATAAATTTTAAACATTTTAAATTCCAACATTGTTTGTGGAAGTCCAACAAAGCTAAATGTATACTCAAACCTGAAAAGTTGTGAGGCTCCGTTTTCATTTGATTATCGCTGTACACTTGGCGTCTTGTTTGTAACACTGTGGTACAACTAACCCCGCTGTGT